ATAGATTTGCGGTGGAGTGCGGGAAACGTGTAAACTCGGGCCGATTGTAACTGCGTATTACCAAATATTTGTTTGTAATCCACCCTTTTGGTGGATGGAACAAAACCAAAAGACAGAGCCATCTTATATTTTGGCGGGAAATTCACCCGCACTCCAAATGTTAAATTAAAAATGAGAAAAAAGTTAATGTGCTAATAAAATCCAAGCAGTATTGGTTAAATGCTAAGGTACTAGGTAGACCAGAAGCCTGAAGAATGTATTTTTAGGATGCAGAATTATAATGGTGTTAGAAATACAAAGGCACCTGGAATAAATGTATCGAGGCTACAGAAAAAATTCTCCCCACCTTGTTGCTATGAATACCTTTCTAATGTTAATACAGGAAATAAAAAAACAAAACAATCTTTTTGTATGCAGTTCAAGGTTTCTCATCTTTAAGAGACAATACGATTGGCGTACTCTGGAATATCGATGACACTTATAATCTAATAAAAAAGTGAATTACTTAGGTATACCTCATTAGAGGTGAAGTAGTTTATATAGACTTTCAACCATAGAGATTGCTAAAGTAGACATTAATCCATTTTATAGATGTCTAGGTAAGAGTGTAAGGCAGCTGGGGCCCCATCAAGTGTTAGAGGCTAAACTCTGGGAGCAGAAAAGTACGAGGTCAGGACATTTAAATGCACAGGCAAAACCCACAATGGCTTACCAGGGCGGTGTGCAGAAGACAAGGCATTCTAGGAACCTCTGAGTTCAGATGCCGGAAAGTACCTCTGGAGCTCAGCACCAGAGGCAGACCATTCACCCTTCCCTCCCCAACAGCTTTGAACTCTAACAGCAGGGACATTTCTCAGGAGCAAATTAATTTTTATAAAGTTAATGGAAAAGTGTTAACTTGTTTGCTTGAAAGGCTCCTAATTTATTAGGTACATTGTGGCAATGGGAAAAATAGCTTGTACTTTCAATAACAGCAAAACTAGAATAAGTAAACTAATCACCATACCCATCTCTGCTCAAGATTTTAATGGATCATAGGGCTCATTCTTCAGTTCCGTAAAAATTGTATCATAAGCATCAACAAACGTGGCATGTTTGTGTGTGTTTTTGAGGCCCTCTACCAGAGGTTCCCAAACTCATCTTTAGGTGGAAAACTCGTTAAAAGTGCAGGTTCCTGGCTATTTCAAACGTGGCAGATTCAGAAGGCCTGGGTAGACCTCAAGAATCTGCTTTTCAAACAAATGCTCCCGGTGATTGTCAGGGGTGATGTGGGGATCGCACTTTGAGAAACACCGCCCCAAAGCGAACTCTTTTCCACTTTAGTTCACGTCACAGCAAATCCTATTTTCAACGGGCTTCCTAGTGTTAGTTCTGAGAAGCAATGAGACTACCACAGAGTCAGCCAGAGACAAATGATCAAAGCGTAGTGAGGAAGTCTAGCCTTCAAGCACACA